AATTGACTCGAAAGAAGTCACCGTTCCCGTTCTTTCTCCACGAGTGCACGCGAGACTTATTGCTTTCGCACCTATCTTGGCAATTGAGCAAGTCTTTTACGTCACGAGGAATCTGGTTGTTTATCAAGGGCAACAGGGCGATATCCCTTTGAGAATACGGGCTTATCACTTTGCAATCCTTTGAGCGATTTACTGGGAACGTTTGGATATATTGTTGATTCGGAGGCTTATCTCTTGGTGATTCCACGGAACGTGCATCAGCCGTCTGTGCAGTTTTCGAGTGTCACGAGTTTCCGTCCTGTGCGGGTTGTAACGATTTCACAGAAGCCGATCAGCCAATCAGAGCGTCCGTGCAGTTTTCGAAGGTCACCGGATCGTTTTGGTACTTATTTGACGTGCACTGAGTCAGTTCCCAACGTCACGCGGAACGGACTGCTCGTTCTTTTTCGAAGACATATCGCGGCGTGTTCCCGTACCGGTTTGATTGTTCTGAAAGCAGGCTCAGCTTCGGTAAATCCTTCGCCTCACATTTTAAAGGTTTTACGTGGTCGAGTCATTGAAATTCGCGAAATCGCGATCTTTCACGGAGAGCGAGCAAACGATCGCAACACCAAGCCCAACTCGGAGAGTCACAAGACAATGAAGCGACTGTTTTGAGAGAGTATAGATAGCACCACTGGATCCACCATCCTCTGTTTAGTCAGTGGGTATCTCCGTTTGGATTTTGGGAGCCTTTGTGGGGAGATTCATTGGTCCCAGTAAGCTAGCTTCCAGTGTGGCAAAACCTCACCAATCCAAGCCAATTCCCAGCACCACGGCAATTCAGGAAGCAGGTTCCAGACCCTCTACACTGGCTACCTTATTCAACTACCACCCACTTGAATTTCCTAGCCCCATACCAAGGTTCCTGGAAGTATCCTTTGTGGTTTCCAAAGTACAGTTGAGTCAGCCTTATTCTACTGCTACAAGAGCTGCAAACCAGTGCTTCCACCGGTACAGCAGGTACACCTCTTCTTTGTCAGTAACAAGAGGCACCATGTCTTTCTACGGTTTCTACAGCGATGCGAGTGACCCTTATGCCCCTGGCTACTCCGAACGTTGGTGGCACCACGTCTACTCTGAGCCCCAAGTCCAAAGTAGCTACACTGCCTGTGCCCGCCCCACACACCACGATGGAGCTGGCAACAGCAACCTAGCCTACCGCCACCAGTATCGGGACACACAGCCACCAGTGCCACCACCAGATGACTACAAATCCGTCTTTGACATTCTTGAGAAGACACCGGCACCACCTGTGTCAGCAGTGTTCTCACCAGACGCATACACATCACCCTTCAACATCCTTGAGAAGAGGCCAGCACCCATGGCCTACGGTAGGACCAACCACCAGCTGGGTGATGGGGAGATTTCAGAGCTGTCTCCTGACAGCTCCAGTTGTCACCCAGATCTCATTTATACCCCAGCCATGGAAGACATGCTGATCCACTTTCAACAGCAACAGGCCACCGTTGCTCGACAAAGAGCTTATCACGAATCATTCAAGCAAGACATGAGAGCTGACCACGAAACCTTCAAACGAAAGATGGAAGCTCAGTTCATCGCCCTGAAGGACCAACTGACAGCTCAACTGGACGCCTTGGTCGTGGTAGCTGCTAGGCCACCTGTCACAGCACCTACACCTGCTTTGACACCATCAGTTCATGGGGAGACCAATGCCACTCCACTGTCAGCCATGGGCAGTGATGATGGCGTCCACAAGCCGACTGGTGACAGTGCTATTGGTATTACCCAACGGCTCCACAGCCCAAAGAAGCTGCAGCGCCACAGGGCTACTCGTTCGAAGCAAGATGTCACTGCCATCCAGCAACGACTGGATGCAATTGCCATCCAGCAACGATTGACTGATGCTCTCTTGGCCACCAACCAGCTGCCCACCAGCAGTGTAGCCACGGCTCCATCTCCCAAGCTAGGTTGTGGGGAGTTGACTGTCACACGACCCCTGCGTGTCCCAGCTACGAGCCACCAGCTGCCCAGTGCCACACCCTTGAATGCCCTCGCTGGTGCCCATCCATTGTTGGATGATGGGGAGATTATCGAGCTTGCCAGCCCTAGTAGTCATCCAACCTCTGGGGAGATCATGATGGCAAAACCTCCAGCCAGTAAGCAACCAGCTTCCAGAGCTGGTGCCAACAACATTCCAGTTGCACAACCAAATAGACCAAGTGTGGCTCCCACTCAGTCAGCTCTACAACCAAGAGCACATGAGCAGACTCACACAGTGGTGACCCCCAAGCAACCTGCTCCAAGGCACAGAGCACACAAGGGTCCCACCACAACCAACATTGGCAGGAGACCTAGTGGTCCACCACCCACAGGGACACCCAAGGTTCCCAGCCTGGTTCCCACAGAACCACCAACCTATGGCACAGCCAATGCCACAAGACTCGTACCCAACGAGGTGCCGTTGTCTTTGGATAGGACCAGCCTTGGTCCAGCCATCACCAATCCATCTGCCAGCAGGCCCACCAAACAGATACCCTCTGCTCTTGGTGGAATCCATGGGGAGCAACCACAGCAAGCACCTTTGACCAAGGCAGCTTTGGTGTCTCCTACCCAGGAGCTGACTGACATGGTGTCGCCTTCCCAGAAGCTGACCGCCACCATGCTTCCTACCCCAAAGCTGGCTGACATGGCAATAGTGCATGGCAATGGACCAATCCCAGTGACGCCCCTGGATTTTCGGACGGGCAACTAGACTACGTCCCTGTCTGGTACAGCCCATCCATCCCATCCGTCAAGGAACATGATTGCGGGGCGAGAAGGCCGCTCCACTGAGAGCTTGCCACCGCTGAATTCGGCCTGTGGCAAAGCCACGAATATTTGTCTACATATGAAGAAAAAAAACAACAGCAATGATAGCAACCAGCACCGCCGACACCTACCGAGTCTGGCCATGCTGATGAGCACGCAATCCCTTTGCGCCTATACCTTTGGTCCAGCAACCGACCAACCATGCAAGTCCCTCCACTTGTGAGATCTCCAATCTCACATTGTGTTCCACTACCGGTAGCAGTCGATGCTGAGTGGCCCATGGATGTTCCATCCATGGGGAGAGTTTGTAGATAGTTAGTTAGTAACTAGTCGTATATCGTGGCATTCCCATGAGAGCGGATCCATACGCACTCGTGGGGAGCGATAACTTTTAGGAGCGAGAGCTCTGGATCCCGTCAGAGATAGCTCCAACAGCTATGCTGGCCTACAGCTCCAGCACCCACAGCCGGCTTATCTCCAGCCAAAGCAGCAAGAAAGGATCGTCCTTTCCACCATAGTTAAGAAAATAGTACGAAAGATTGAGACCGATCCTGATTAGCTTGTAGCCCCTTTGATACCGCAGCAGTTGATACCTATCCTGTTGAGGCCGGGCAGAAGCAGTAGGAGGTAGCAGATAGTACTGTTCCCAGACTGCCACTGCACGATTGAATAACGAAGGCCCCCAGCTCCTGAGGAGAGCTGGCCCAAAAGGGCCCAGCAGAGAGCTCTGCTGGCCCTCCTGTCTGACTGACAGGGCCAAGTCCTTGGTTTGGTGCCTACTGGAGGTGTTGGAATACTCCTGAGGCACGACAAGGCTCCCTGAACTACCTGACTACCGCTGTGCCTGAGGAAGGGTTTCAGCGAGATCCAGTCCACTACTTGGGTATTGGAACTGAACCTTCAAGAAACTTATTGAGGAGAAGGCGTTTAACAAGCCCTTGGCCGAGAATCAAGGAGGACCCACTGCACTCACTCCCAACACCATGCCTGGAGACCAGCCTGAAGGTGATGTTGCTTTGAAGCAGGAGGCAGATGCCTTCATTGATGTTGCCACCTACCTCACCGGCAATGGAGTCCACCCTGCCAAGGTTCCTCCCAAGGTTCCTGTCAAGGTTCCCTCCATGGAGGAGGAGGAAGCATTCAAACCAAACCCACTCCAGTACACCCCAGTCACTGGGGTCCCTCCACCCTTCACCATCCCCAGGATCACCATCCAACAGACTGACTACACAAGGCAACCAGACCTCATCTTTCCTGATCTTCCACCACCTGATCAGCAGACACACTACAGTGGCAGGTATGGCCTCAATTGGGTTGGGAAGAGAGTCTGGATTAGGTACCCACACCCCCTTGATGCCTCTCAGCTACCCTCCAATGTAGCCATGACCCCCGAGCACTGGTTGGGGAGGATGTATCCCAATGGACAGTTCCTACACCTCACAGGTGAATGGGAACAACACATGAAGCCCCAGCTCCCAACCCCTTCACCTTCACCAGAACCTAACCAGCAAACCCCCTTTAAGATCCTTGACAAGGCACCAGCATCATGTGCCTCCAAGTCTATTGTCCCCTTTCCCAATGGCACCACAGTGATTGGATCCAACCTGGGCTACACTGGACATGGCCCTGGCCCTGACCAACCACCAGATCAAGTGTACCGCGGTGGAACTTGGAGGAGCAATCAATACCCTAGACCCAGATCTGGAGGCCATGGTGGACCTGGAGGACCTGATGAACCTGGAGGCTCTGGAGGATCTGGAGACTCTGATGGTGGACCACACAACCACGGGGGCAATAGGTAGTATGGACCTGGAGGCCCTGGTGGCCCTGGAGACCCTGGTGGACCTGGAGACCCTGGTGGACCTGGAGAGCCTAATGGTGCTGGTGGTGGCTCTGGCCCACCCAACACTACCAGAAGGTTTCAGCCCAAGCAAGACAGGGATGCCTACAAGGAATTGACCAGGACCAAGCATTTCACCAACTGGTTTGTCCACACAAGTGTGACCTTGCGGGCACAAGGCCTCCTCAGAGTGATTGACGGTACCTATGAGCCACAATCCCAGGAGGACAAGGCTGAATTGGACAGGATGCAGGCGTGGTTCTACAGTGTCCTCCAGGAGAAGGTCAAGACTGAAGTTGGCAAGGAGATCGTGGAGCGGCACTTCAATGATGTCAATTGCCAGGCCATCATGACAGCACTCCGCCTTGATGCACATGCTTCCGTGGATGGGAGGTTGGAGCAGGCTGAACTCTACAGCTGGCTCACCGCCACCACCTTTGCACCTTCCAAGCAGGCCACCCTGGACTTTATTGTCAAGTTCAATCGGAACTTCAAGAGGTACAACGACGCTGTCAAGGCCAAGACTGAGCGCATCACTGAGGAAACCAAGAAGACACTACTCCAGCGTGCTCTCTCCGATGTGCCATTGCTCCATGCAGTCACCTCCCATGAGATTGAGCGCATGACCTTGGAGCACAAGCCCGGTTACACCTTCGAGGAGTACTACGAAGTTATCAAGGTAACTGCCGCTAGCTACGACAGGAACCGGGCGACGTCACGCCATCGGTCTGTCAATTGGCATGACATTGATGGTGACAACTGTGATGGTCAAGACAGTGAGGCCCCAGCTGATGGAGGCATTGATGCATTCAATGTCAATATGGACCCAACCACCCGATTGCCCGATGAGTTCTTCCGCCAACTCCCACGTGAAGACAAGTCCATCTGGCACCGGCTGTCCCCCCAGGCCAAGAAGATCTTGATGGAGTCATCTCCACCCAAGCCTGGTCCACCTGCACGACAGGCTCACCTTTCTGAAATGGTAGAGCAGGATGAGGATAAGGATCGCCCTGAACCAGTAGGTGACACACTACCACCCACCATGGAAGCCAACCAAGCACAAGCCAAGCCTGGAGCTGGTCCATCCCACTCGGCACCCCAGTCCAAATCAAATGACCTGCACCCGGCACACCCAGCTCGAATGATGGGCACCAAACCCAAGCCACGCGAAGGTAACCTTGCTGCTAGCCACCCGAGCAATCGATCCGCCCACCATGCATTTCACCGCATGCTGGACAACGTTGATGACATTGCCTCCGGTGCTGCCCATTCTACCAAGCCTGGCCCTGATAGAGCGGATTTTCGGCTCGGCGACTAGCTTTTGTCTCAAGCTGGTCTAGCCGAGGAACCTCTTCAGAGACAAATGACAGTGGGGTAGCACACAGTCAGCCCACAGCGGCGCTACCTTCCGCCGATGATGACTGGGTTGGAACCCCTATCCCCCCCTTAGGTCCTGGTGTTCCCAACCACCCTTGTGTATCGTACTACTCAGCCTTCATCCACCACCGCAAACGACTTTGGTGCGCCTTGATGGATCGAGGCGCCAATGGATTTATCCTTGGCAATGATGTACGTGTTGTGAATTTATCTGGTACATTCATTGATTTGAATGGTATTGACAATCACACAGTTCGAAACCTCCAGTTGGCTACTGCGGTTGTGTTCATGCGAAGTGATCATGGTCCCATCCTTGGTCGCATCCACCAGGGTGCCGTCATGTATGACGGCCGTACCATTGCTTGTCCCGGTCAGATGGAGCACTTTGGTTGTTGTGTTCACGAGAAAGCCAAGACCGTGACTGGAGTGGACCCCTACTTTGTCACACCCAATGGTTTCAGAGTCCCCATGGCCATGCGCAATGGACTTCCGTATGTAGACTGGCGGCCACCCACTGATGCTGAGATGGAAGACGACTCCATCCCTTTGATATAGATTTGACTAGCCCACACCCGTGGGACCCCTCGTGCCTTGATTCGGTCCCGTCCGACGATTGGTACGACACCCAAAGTACTACCGTCCTTGACGATGCAGATTCCCCTTTCGACAGCTTGGGCAGACTCAAGACTTTGGATGACGATGCCCTGACTTCATCTCGTCCCACCCCCAAGCAGTCCATTGATCGCCGCGGTATTATTGCTGCCATGGCTGACCTTGTCAAAGACGATCTGGTCCCTGCCTGTGCTGATGATGTCCCCGCCCTCTTATCCCGCCAGTGCCATCATTATGACTCCAGCTCCGACGATGATTCTGACCTCGAGGATGACTCTGACATTGAAGATCTTCGACAGTGCTTTGCCCGTGTCCCCGACCTTTTGTCCCCCTATGACGACTCCTCTGGTGCTGAAGACTCGGACTCATCTGGTGATGCTTCCGACTCTGACACTGAGGACTTACGCCATTGTTTTGGAGTCCAAACCCGTGGACAGCTTCGTGGGGAGCCTCCAAGCACGCGCTCCCGTTCCCCCCCCTCCCGCCCCTCTGACCCAACGAAGGATGGGGAGAAAAAGACTCGGAAGAAGCCTGAAGCCAGACGACCTCGTCTCAAGAAGCAGTCCTCCGTTGACAGAAGCCCACGAGTTGAGACAGTACTCCCAAGCGATGATGATGACAGTTCCAGTGACGTTGAAGATGCAGGCAAAGACATTCTCAGGTCGAACAACAGGGCCAAGCATCATACTGGTGTTGAGCTGCCCCCCATATCCCGCAAGCGACCCCCTGAGCAGATTCCAATGATGCGGCGGTTCTTTCCGGGAACTAATGACGAGACACTCAAGCGAACCTAGGATGCCACTACCCAGTATGGTACCAAGGGAGCTGTCCAAGGTCGTACTCTCCGAAGCCAGATACTGTCGCCCAACCCGATCCTCAACATTCCGAGAAGGCAAGAGGATGTGGCTACGGATACTATCTACGGCAGTGTCCCTGCGGTTGACGACGGATCTGTGGCAGCCCAATTCTTCATTGGACGCACATCCCACTATAGGTCATTACACCCCGCTGGCACCAGTGACGCAAGCTATGTCAAGACACTGATGGACAACATCCGAAGGTTTGGAGCAATGAACTGCATCACATATCTGCACTTCTTCAATTTGAGTTTTATGAACCAGTCTACTACCAGAAGTATGATGCGAAATTCCCACAGGACTCAACCGAGTGTGTGGGGAGGTTCGTTGGCGTCTCAGAGTATGTTGGCCATGGCATGACGTACAAGATTCTCACTGAGGACGACAAGATCATCCATCGGGCTGTCGCTAGAACAGCAAGACTAGGCAACGAATTCACCAATTGGAAGGCGGATGCACAGGCACCCAAGCTTGCGCCCAAACCCAAGCCATTTGTGGACGGACCACCCTCAAAGACCATCGAAGGAGGTATTGATCTTGGGGAGACCCAGAACGCTACAGTGTTCCATGACGCCATCCGGCACGATATCAGCTCACACCTGAGAGAGGATGACATTCTCCAAGGTGGCACACTACCGACCATTGATGTGTCAGGCTTGCTCAACCGAACGTTCATAACCAACCCGGACGACAATGGGGAGCAGGCAAGAGCCAAGATTGTCTCTGCGACACCCACAGGTGAGACTGACGCTGATGGCAAGGAGGCTGTTTTCAGATTCCGATGCAAGCATGGAGACAAGTGTTTCGATGAGACCAAGGCCTACTCCAAGATGCTCGAATGGTGTGACCGTGACCTTGACCTGGACGACATGTTCAAGATTGACTCTGTCCAAGACCACAGGCCATCCAAGACACGCTCCAAGTTTGAGATCCTTGTTGAATGGGCAAGCGGGTGCAAGACATGGGAAGATATGGGGTTCATCTTCAATGATGATCCAGTTTCTGTTTCCCTGTATGCGGTGAAGAACAACCTGGTTGGTGTGAATGGATGGAAGCGGTGTAGACCCTACACGAAGAACGCAAAGAAATTCGCTAGGATGATTCACCAAGCCACACTGAAGAACTTTTGGAACAAGCCGGTGTACAAGTACGGGCACCAGGTTCCAAGGAACCATGCTGAGGCAGTCTTCATCGACGAAAAGAATGGAAACACAAAATGGCAGGACTCAGAAGAACTCGAGATCAAACAGCTCTTGGAATACGACACGTTCAAGAGCCTAGGTCTCGGAGCGCCAGTACCAAAGGGCTTCCAGAAGATCCCCTGCCACATGGTGTATGACATCAAGATAGATGGACGCCACAAGTCGAGGTTTGTGGCAGGTGGACACAGAACGGAGACGCCAACTGACTCCGTGTATTCAGGTGTTGTCTCTCTGCAAGGAATTCGCCTTGTCACCTTCATTGCGGAATTGAATGACTTAGAGTTGTGGGCCACGGATGTTGGTAATGCATACTTGGAGTCCTACACAACTGAAAAGGTATGCTTCGTTGCCGGAGGCGAGTTTGGGCCTCTGGCTGGACACACAATGCAGATGATCAAGGCACAATATGGACTAAAATCCTCTGGAAAGTACTGGCATGACAAGTTGTTCGATGTGCTCTACTCCATGGGATTCAAGCCCTCACGCGCTGAGTCTGACATCTGGATGAAGGATCGAGGAGACCACTATGAGTATATTGCGTGCTACGTTGATGACCTGCTCATTGCATCACGTGAGCCCCAGGTAATCATAGATGGGCTGATGGCCGAGCCCCACAAGTTCAAGCTCAAGGGCACTGGTGAGGTGGAGTTCCACCTAGGATGCAACTTCAAACGCGATGAGGATGGGACACTCACAATGTCACCATTCAAGTACATTGACCGCTTGGAAGCACAATACCTTACCCTCTTTGGGGAGAAGTCGTCCACCAAGGTGACCAGTCCTGTTGAGAAGAATGACCACCCGGAGCTTGATACTTCCCCACTGTTGGACGATGATGGGATCACCAAGTACCAGTCCCTGATTGGAGGAATCCAGTGGGCTATTTCCCTTGGAAGGTTTGATGTTGGAGTTGCAGTCATGACGCTTTCCTCGTTCCGAGTAGCTTCCCGTGTTGGCCACCTGGATCGATTGAAGAGAATTACCGGTTACTTGGTCAAGATGAAGCATGGAGGTATCCGTGTACGAACCACTATTCCGGATTACTCCCAGTTGGAAGTCAGGAAGTATGACTGGACAAAGACAGTATACCAAGGAGCTGAAGAGGAACTCCCTGGTGACGCACCTGCTCCCAAAGGCAAGCCCGTGGTCTTCACCACATACGTGGATGCCAACCTATACCATGACTGGGTGACGGGGAGAGCCGTCACTGGAGTTCTGCACTGTGTGAATCAGACTCCCTTTGAATGGTACTGTAAGAAGCAGGCCACCGTCGAAGTGGCGACTTATGGTTCTGAGTTTGTTGCTGCCAAGATAGCTGCCCAACAAGCTATCGCTGCCCGTATCACATTGAGATACCTTGGTGTTCCAGTGCAAGGCCCCACATACATGTTCGGCGACAACGGGTCCGTTTGCACAAGCTCGACACAGCCCCATTCCCCACTAAAGAAAAGGCACCATGCACTTGCCTACCATTTTGTTAGGGAGAGCATTGCAGCAGGAACCATCTCCTTCCATCACATGCCAGGAGAAATCAACCCGGCTGACATCCTCATGAAGCACTGGAGTTACTCTCAGATTTGGCCAATGTTGCGAGCAGTGATGTTCTGGAAAGGGAATACCCTGGACACCCTCACCCCGGATGAATCCGATGGAGGGGAGCGATAAAATGTGGGTTGGATCCATGGGATCAACGTGGTGAGTGTGAGAACAAACTGTCTGTCTTATGTTACTGGTACCCACATGGTATGTGGAACAAGCAAAGATATAGAGAATCTTGGTTGGTACTGGTAAGACATAGGCCATACATATGGGACCAGGGAAGCCCCATATGGTCCCATATGAAGGTTTTGACCACTGTATCACCCCAGATGGCCATGAGGCAAGCATCTACTCAATCAGGTGACCTCAGGAGGATCCAGGAGCCTCAGTGTGGCTCAGAGTGATGATTCCTGCATAACACCCAATTATTTGGATGCATGCTTTTGCTCATAGTCTAAAGAAGTAAAGTATTGATATTGATACCATCTAGACCTGAAGCTCCCTTGTTCCTTTGCAGTAGATACCCATCCTGTTGAGGCTGAGCAGTAGGCATTGAAGAGGTAAGCTGACAGCGCTTGCTAGGTTGACCAGCATCGTGATAGAATAACATCGGTACCAGCTCTAGGAGCTGGAAAATCTGTAAGCAGAGGAGGCCCTGTGGCCATCCTCATCTCTTGTGGATCTACCCTGATCCTTTCAAGAAGTTATTGGATTAAACAGTTGCAATAGCATCACAAGAGAAGCTATTGCTACAGACGAACAGGCCCAGTGAATCAGAGCTCGAGTCCAAGTCGGAGATCTCCAAGAAATCCTACCTTTTGACTCCTACTGATCCACACAGCCATTTCTGTTGTTATTCGAGGTCACCAGTGGATCCGCAGGGTCTGAATTACCCAAGAACAAGCCTCTGCAAGCCTTCCAAGGTCGAAATCGAGCCGGCTACCAATCTCAAGTTCGCGAAACTCGAACCGATCGATCGATCCGTCGCGAGCAACACGAAAAAATCACGATATTGTGAGGCGGGTCCAGTCAAGTCAATCGGAGAACTCGAAGAGTTAACGAACGACCACAGAGGTGCACCGTACCGGTCACGGCATGAATGGCGTTAACTCTCCGAGACGTCCGGAAGCCTTTGGAACAATCCAAACGTCCGTGCAGTTTTCGTTCCTGTACCAGTGTCCGTGCAGTTTTCGCTGTTCCACGAGTTCTCGTACCGGTTCGCGCGCGTTAACTCCACGAAGTCACTCGGAACAACCGGATCAGTTCCACGGAAGCCCTCGGAAGACCGGATCGATCCTGGAAGCCCCTGGATCAACTCGAAGACTTAGAGAGTTCCCTCCGAAGACTTATACAAGGTGCAACGTGTTTACGGCCGAGTTCCCGCGAAATAGACTCACATTTCAGGTGATTTTCAGCTTTCAGTCTATTACGGTGTGCACTTCAAGCCTATTACAAGTACAAGCACAACATGGTAAACAAGTCTGAGAAGAAGAGGAGGAAGGAAAGGAGGATGGCAGCTGCCAATGCAGCAGAGCTTGCAGCCACTCCTCAAGATGGCAACCAGCCACCCACAACCATCCTCACCCATCCTCCTGCTGTTGATGCTGATGGTTCAGTGGCTACCTCCACCCATGATGGGAGCAGGGATCCCCCATCACTCCCACCTGCTACCACCACCCCTTCTTCCACCACCGATGCTATGCTTCAAACTATCCTTATGCGTTTGGAGATGCAGCAAGCATCCATGGAGGCACAGCAAGCTTCTGTGGAGGCCATTGGCAAGCGCCAAGTGATTGATGGATCCGCTTTGAGGGCGCAGCAAGCCGATGTTGCCACTCTCACCAAGCGCATGGAGGAGCGCCACCAGGACCTTGAGACCTCCTTCATCCAACAGTTGAAGAAGTCCATCAATCAGCTTGATGCGAGGGCCCAACAACACTTGGACTCCATGGAGATCAGCCATAGGTTCTATGAACCAAGCTTGGCTTCACCAATCCGCACTGTAGCCCAGGAACAACACGGTGTTGAGGAGCAGGAGAAGGCGTTTAACAAGCCCTTGGCTGAGAATCAAGGAGGACCCACTGCACTCACTCCCAACACCATGCCTGGAGACCAGCCTGGAGATGATGTTGATTTGAAGAAGGAGGAAGGTGCCTTCATTGATGTTGCTACCTACCTCACCGGCAATGGAGTCCACCCTGCCCAGGTTCCTGCCAAGGTTCCTGTCAAGGTTCCCTCCATGGGGGAGAAAGCATTCAAACCAAACCCACTCCAGTACACATCAACCACTGGAGGCCCTGGAGTTGTTCTCCCACCCTTTACCATCCCCAGGATTACCATCCAACAGACTGATTATGCCAAGCAACCAGACCTCATCTTCCCTGACCTTGCACCCCCTGGTGAGCAGACCCATTACAGTGGAAGGTATGACCTTAACTGGATTGGAAAAAGCGTTTGGATCAGATATCCACATCCCCTTGATGCCTCCCAGCTACCCTCCAATGTAGCCATGACCCCTGCGCACTGGTTGGGAAGGATGTATCCCAATGGAAAGTTCCTACATCTCACAGGTGAATGGGAACACATGGAGCCCAGAGGGCTTCCAACCACATCATCTTCACCAGAACCCAACCACCAAACCCCCTTCAAGATCCTTGACAAGGCACCAGCACCAGACCAGGTGTATCACAGTGGTACTTGGAGGCGAAGTCGTTTATGAGAGCCTTGGATGGCGAACTCCCTTTGAGTGGTTGCATGGGTACACACCTGACATATCTGAACTTCTTCAATTTGAGTTTTATTGCTAACGTGGGGAAATACTACTTGAATAGAGGGATCTTGTAGAGGTAGCTACCACCCGACGAGATCAACTGCAACTATTCAAGACGAGTGCAAGGTAAATGCAAAAGTTCGCTTCTTAGTAATTCATAATCTGTGTTGTGAGCTTTGATTGATGCGATCAGTAAAGCTAGTTGTAGCGTGTTGGATCAATACATCGTGGTAGTTGATACGGAAGTCAACGTGGTATCTGCGGGAAACGGTTCGTTGGCAGGATGCTTTAATCCTGTCGAATACTCCAAATTACCGTGTCCTTTGGTTTCGTCGAGAACGTTTTCTTGCCAGCTTTCTCTGTTCCATCGTGTTGACTCATAAAACATGACTCATTCTACTCACGTATACTCTTAGTCGTGGGAGGAACTGTAACGCTTTCAATCCCGCTCATGTGGTGGCGAGGACTGTCGTGACCTCTTGAAGTGTGTGTTCGTCCCTCTCCCCGCAAATCCTTTGGTATCTCCTGACCCA